GTGCTGGGACAACTGCTTCAGGCTTCTGTCCCGGAGGCTTATCCACTCTCTCTCTCGCTCCTGTGATGGGTGCAAGGTTGCCTGGAACAGGTTCTCCATCCTGTGTTGCCTGCGGCGGGCTCAGATAAGATCAGCAGGAGTGGCTGGCACTCTACCAGTTGGGCTGTCAGAGCTGGCTCCTAGACAGCCACTCCCTCAGCATCCAGGCGGGTCACAAGCCACCACCTGGGCCATAGCCGTTGGACCTACCTGACCTGAGCTGTTGCCAGTGAGGATAGGCATTTGAGTGGAGGCAGCAATTAGTTCAGTTATGGTGGGAGGGATCCAGTCAGGCATAGCCAGGTCTTTATGACCTTTTCAGGTTCCCAAGTTCAGAGCAAAACCACATCCCACTTGCCCTCATCCCTGTTCACCTTGTGCTTCATTCTGGGGTGTGGCATAGACTGATTGATCCCTGGGCATAGAGGGAGGGCTTGGGATTCCTGGGTTAGCACTGCCCTGGTTCAAAAAGAGTAAAAGTCACCAGTTCAGTGTTTTGGGATAGGCTGAGTCCTGGCTGTGGTGAGGTACTGAGCTGTTGTGGGATATATTCTGGAACAGGGATCCGCAGTGGATAGGCCTTGAAGGGGGGCACTGGGCAAGGGACCTATTGACCTGACCGAGAGACCTGCTGACCTAACCCCAAGAACATCTGTCTATCCAGTCTCCACAGTGAGGGTACTTTCCTCCCTTGTTGGAGCTAGCTGGCTAACATTCAGCTCAGCCTGAGCCTGGGCCCTCCAGAGGCCTGGCAAGTATGCAGTGTGAATGTACGCTGGTAGGTGAAGGGCCTGTCTGAGGTTGTGACAGTTGGACAGAGGAATAGCACATGCAGAAGGAAGGCATGGAACATGGGCCAGGTGGCAAGTGGTTTGCTGTGGAAGTACAGGTTCCATCTGGACAGTAGGAGAGAGCTTTGGAGGAAGAGGTAGCCACAGAGTCAGATCACCCTGGCACTTGAATGCCAGCCCAGAAGTTTGAACTTTATCCTGTAGGTAGCATGAGGAGTAAAAGTTTCCAGCAGAGTGGAGTATGCTCAGGAAGCCCCCACTAGGTGTGGTGTGGAGGGCAAAGGAGAGACAGGGAGGCTACCCACCATTTTCATTCTCCAGACTCTCCCAGCATCTTTAGGCACTATTGTCCTCATCTGTAAAATGAAGAAACTAAAGGCTCAGAGAAGTGGGATGGTTGTCTAAAGCCACGGTGACTTACTAGTCACTGGCAGTGCAAGGAATCACACCTGGCTCAGCTTGTTTGCAGAAGTGAGGACTCTTACCCACCCTGCTAACATGGAGGCAAGCCAACCCAGTAAGGGGAGGGAGAGACAGACAGACAGAAAATGTATGGTGGCATGCATACATGCACTCCCCCCCCACACTCCTTGTACTTCCACCCATTCAGCTGGCCTGTTGCCACATTCCGTGCCCCAAGACAGGGTAAGGGGTGCGGCTGTCCCCCCAGCCTCACCCACACCCTCACCGGGCCTAACTGGTTTTAACTGGAGTCACTGGCAAGAGCTGCCCAGGCACCTGCTCGTAAACACTGACCCAACACTGCAGGCCCTGTGCCAGGACTGCCTGCCTGGCAGGCAATGTCCCAGCCTGGTGGCCACAGATTGAAGATTAGATGGACCCTCAGCCGCCTGACAGGTGGGAAGTGTAAGTAGCTGGTGCAGCAACCGTGGGCTAGTAGACTCTAGGGGACAGGGTGGAGGTAGGGAGGTGACCTTGGTACCTGGGTCTTGCCAGTTTCTTTAGCTGCACTAGCCACTAGAAGGTCCTGTCCTGTCTGCCTCCCTAACCCTGGGGTCACACTTTCTAGGGTGCACATGGGTAGATACTAGGATATAGAATCCCAGGACTTGACTAGTGACCTTCCCCCTGCCCCGCAGTTAGGAACTGCAGGCCCCAAAGGGTACATCTTGGGATTTCTTTTTTTTTTTTTTTTTTGGTTTTTCTCCGGTACCGGGAACCGAACTCACGACCTTGCGCTTGCCAGGCAGGCGCTTTTGCCACTGAGCTAAATCCCCAGCCCCCATCTTGGGATTTCAATACAGTCAGCTTGCCTGGCCCCAAGGGAATGACTCCTGGAGGGACTGAGAAGCACCTCTAAATTGTGGTAGTGGGGATGGCAATTGTCTCTGACCCCAGGACCTCTGATTTCTAGCAGTCCTTTATGCTGGGCTCTACTCTCTATGCTGCTAATTCCTGAGCTGTCCAAATCTTTTGTTACCTGTAGTCACTCTCAAGCTCTACACTGAGGCTCAGCTTGTTTAATGTTGTTTGCTGGCCTAGGTCTGGGTCCTGGGTCTTGGAATCCTGGGTCTTGTCTCATCTCTTGCAACAGCAGAACCTGTGGGTCCAAGTCAGTCTGGAAAGCAGACCTCAGTGTGGAAAGCTTTTCATGCTTTCCAGCCCCCTCTTCCTACTCAGAAGAAAAGGCTCTTTCTATGGAGCCAGAGTTTCTAGAACCAAGCCACAAGATAGGTCCTGGGAGTCTGAGTGAGGCCCGCAGGACCATGATGGACAGGTGTGGGGAAAGAAGGCTGGTTGACTTTGTGAGTGAGAGGAAGCACCTGGAGTCTGAACTGACCTGTCCTTTCCTTGTGCTCAGCAGATTCAATTTACCTGGGCAGGAAGTACTTGTTTTCACTAGTAGCCTGTGTACCCAGCCATTGCTTTTTGACGCTGACGTCTACATAGGCAATAACCATCCTTCATCACAGACTGACCTGACAATTTGGTTCCTGCTCTGTGATGCCTAGGGGCAGCCTGTGGGGTAGGAGGAGGAGGTATTTTCCAAGGTAGGATGCAGCAATGGCCATTGAACACTTATTCCAGGTCATCTCTGTGAGTTCTCACGTGTAATCTTCCCTTAGTATCCCATAGGCATCAGTTGTTCTGAGGCTGAGGAAGGGGAGGTTTAGGGAGATTTAGGGGAGAAGACAGAGGTCACTCTGAGCAAGTCCTCTGTGAGAAGAGGCAATTGGGAACATGCACCCTGAAGCAGGCAGTCAGCTGTTCTGTCACTCCCAATTGGGAGGCAGCAGGCTACTGCTGCTTGGCTGATTAACTGTTAGAGTCTGTGATATTTCAGGGGCTTTGCTGTAGAAATCCCTTGGCCAGTCCCTACCATGAAAGGGGCTGGGAAAGGAAGGAGGAAGCTGTGAGTAGGGGGCTAACAAGTCTTGCAGAGTCTGTCTGCTCGCATTGAGCAAGCTCCATGCTCTACACAGGCCTACCTGGAGTCCTTTTACAAGTTCTGCACCTTACTGGGCGGGACCACAGCTGATGCCATGTGCCCCATCCTGGAGGTGAGTATCTGCCCACACTCTTGCCTGCTGGTCCCCCCTAGTCCTGGCCTGGTAGAAGCTCTGCCAACTGGCTCAGCCTTTTTTTTCTCTCTTCTTGCCTGTGCACTGCCCTGCAGTTTGAAGCAGACCGCCGCGCCTTCATCATCACCATCAACTCTTTCGGCACAGAGCTGTCCAAGGAGGACCGTGCCAAGCTTTTCCCGCACTGTGGACGCCTCTACCCTGAGGGCCTGGCTCAGCTGGCTCGGGCTGATGACTATGAGCAGGTCAAGAATGTGGCTGATTACTACCCGGTGAGTTCCCTGCCTGGCAGAATGGTGGGTGGCCATATTGGATCATGCACCCCCTCCCCTCAGCACCCAGCACCCTGTTTGTGCTTATGTTTCTAACTGTTCCTGGCCAGGAGTACAAGTTGCTTTTTGAGGGTGCAGGCAGCAATCCTGGAGACAAGACCCTGGAGGACCGATTCTTTGAGCATGAGGTGAGCACAGGGCCTGCCCAGCATAGGAAGTAGTGCTAAGACCTGACTCTAGACTCACCCCCCTGTACACCACGCCTGCCTTGTCCACAGGTGAAACTGAACAAGTTGGCCTTCCTGAACCAGTTCCACTTTGGAGTCTTCTATGCCTTTGTGAAGCTCAAGGAGCAGGAGTGTCGCAATATTGTGTGGATTGCAGAGTGCATTGCGCAGCGCCACCGCGCGAAGATTGACAACTATATCCCCATCTTCTAGCATCCTCACCCAAGACTCCCAAGTGTCCTGTGTCTGTCTGTGTGTGCTGTGATGAAGCCCATGGCTCACCTGCCTACCCTGGGGGTGGGTAGCACATTGTCCTAGGGGCTGTACAGCTTCCCTGACAACCCCCCCCCACAACTCTTAGGTCTGAAAAGAGCTGGGCACTTCTCCCTGACCAAGAATGGACCAAGACTCCCTCAGAGCAGTGAGGCCCCATCAGCCCTATGTTTACAGCCACTGACATGTCTGAAAAGCATGTGGTTACTTTCATGTCCCTCCCTAACCTGAGAACCCTGGGGGCAGTAAGAGCCTCCTTTCCCAGAGTCGTGGCCCATGGGAAGGATAGAGTATGTATATCCTTGGGGCACAGGGAAAGTAATTCTCCCTCAGCTCTGGACCTGAGACAATAAAACTGCCCTCTCTAAGCCCGCTGTCTTTTGCTTCCTTTGGGTCCTGGTAACCCTGTCAGGTCCCCACCTTCCCTCATGAGAGCACAGGGACGAACTCAGCAGCCCAGATTCCTGAGTCGGGATTACCTAGGAGACAGCCCCTTCCTCTGCTGGAACTCAGATGCAGAGACAGGCCTGCGGAGCTGGGTTCTGGGGGCCTCCAAGACTCTTCATAATTTCACTGAGCCCTACAACTCTCCATGATCACGAGATCATAGAGAGGATCATGGTATCCTCATTTCATTATGAGGAAATCCAGGCATAGGTATAAATGATTTGCCTGGGGTAAATGGAGGATGGAGTATGTGAACTAGAGTATGTCAGGGGAGCCCAGTCAGGCCTGAGCCCAGAGCCCTGGTCGTGATGCTGAGCCCCATGAGTTCTTCATCTCTGCCATACAGCACACCCTATCACCCAGATAACCAGGCAGTCCCCCCCCCCTGCAAACACTGCAGCTCCTGCATTCTAGGAGAAATAAAAATTTATCTTTATTTAAAAAGTAGCAATCAGGCAAGTAGGGTATGCAGCTTCCCTGTGGGTTGAAAGTGGGAAGTTGGGGTCCTAAGTCTTGAGCCAGTCAAGAGGCAGTTGGAATTTACCCTGGAATTGTAGCACTGAGACATTGGTGCTGAGAAACAATCCTGAGGGGGTCCCCGGCCCACCCAGTCACTCCTTAAGTTTGCAGAGACGCTGTCTACAGAGTCCTGACAAAGCCTGCCGCTAAATCCTGCACAAAACTCCCCATCCAGATGGATTTTCCAACCTGCAGGGTAGAGTGTTGTGCTCAAGAGGGTCTGTGTGGGCTCATGAAGCAGTAGAAACCCAGAGCTCCCTGGAAATCATCAGCCTCCTGGGCCTAGACTGGGCATTGGGAGTGGGAGGCTGAAGTTTGTCAGGCTAGGCTCTGGGGTAGAGTTGGGGGCTCAGAATGACCAGGGGAGAGCCAAAGGCTCATAGAGTGACCTGTGCTAGAGCAACTAGGTCATGTATGCGCATGGCTCACCAAGCCACCTCTGGGGAAGGGCCTGGGTTTAGGTTTGGGTCTCCTCAGTTGCATCCTGGGAAAGAGTAAGGCCAGGCTGGCCAGGCCGCAGTGCTCGGGGCAGACAGGGACTAATGAAGAAGGTCTGCAGGAAGCGGCGTCGCAGGCTCTCTGGCAGGTAGTAGTGGATGAAATACATGAGCCCCACACCACGGCCTGGGTAATAGCGGCGGCGAGGCTGAGCTGCCAGCAGCGCATCAGTGATGGCATCTGTAACTGGGCTGAGGTCAGGTAGCGCCTTGCGGAGTGAATTCAAGAATTGCCTGTGGGAGTGCTCAATGTAGTCTTCGCCATAGGCCTGCAGCAGCTCTCGGGGCAGGTTGGCCAACAGTAGTTGTTTGCGTTGTTCCCAAATGTTCACATTTGTAACTGACTCTGGGGAAGGAGTGGCAAGGTTAGAGGGCAGTCAGCTAGGGGAGCCCGAGGCCACTGGTCTATTTAAACTGGCCTCATCTGCAGCCAAAGTTCTGCCTTTTCTTCAGACCTACCGCTGTCCTCATAAGATCATGCCCACCACCTCATTTCCCAGCCCCAGGCCCCATGCTTGATCCACCCCTAATCCTCACCTGTCTTGAAGCAACCAGGCTGGATGACGCTGACCTTGATCCCCCAGGGAACAAGTTCAGAGCCAAATAAGTCCATGAGTAGCACTATGGCTGCCTTGGAGGTTCCGTAGGCTGCCAAGCATGGATATGGCATGTCTCCTGGGGATAAAATGAGGGATGAGGCAGATTAGCTGTGGCCAGGAGCTCCCTAAACTCTCCAGCACCCCCACAGCAGCTCCTTTTCTACTGTAGAGGGGGATGGCACTCACCTGCTGGACTGCCCACTGTCACGATGCGACCCCTTGAGCGGCGCAGGAGTGGCAGAAGGCCCTTGGTCAGCTCAAGTGCACCAAAGAAGTTCACCTCCATGCAGTTGCGGAATGTGGCCACTGGAGACAGCTCCACATCAGCCACTATGTCATTTAAGCCTGCATTGTTGACCAGGCCCCACAGCCCTGAGGGCAGAGAATAAGGGAGTGAAGCTTCAGGTCAGCCCAGAGGAAAATCCTGCAAACCCTCCCCTTTCGCACCTGCCTGGCCATACCCTCCCCCAGGGAAGCCATGCCTCACCAGTGCTCATGGTGTGGGCCTTGGTGAACTCCAGCACACGGCTGATGTCCTCTGGCTTCATGAGGTTCATCTGCAGCAGCTTTAGGCGAGGGGAACAGCAGGCACGCAACTCTAGGGCACCGGGGCTATTCAGGTCCAACACAGTGGCCAGCACCATGAAACCCATGGCATCCAGTTTCTTGACTGCCTCGTTGCCAAAACCAGTGTCACAGCCTAGTCAGGGCAGAGCAGAGCAGTCAGTGACTCCCGCAGTGGTCCAGTGCAGCCCAAGACAACTCAAAGATCACCAGGGTGAGGGTGAAATCCAGGGCCCTGCACTCAGTGCAGCAGAAGTCGTGAGCCTGCCCTCCTTCCCTCTGCCCATCTCTGGCAGACTTTGCCCGTCTTAGCTAAACCTTGGGCATGAACTCTGAAGCTGTCATCTCCTTGGACTCCCCATGGCTAACCCATCAAAGATGGTTTATATATAATCCTTACTTAAAGATGAAACTGAGTCCTAGTAATACTAATTTGATTCCCAAAGTCACTCAGCGAGCACAAAGGTCAAGACTATCCCAGGTAGGTCAGAAACCCAGCCCATTCCTGATGTCCTCCCTGCATGATTTAGGCCAGAGCTCACATGCAGTGTTACCCTTCCTTTCAGAGTGCCCTTGCCCTTCCTTCCTTTACCTGGACACTGAAGTAGCCTCCTTGGTAGTCCTGTTCAATCACCACCCCCCCCATATATATCCTTTACCTGCGCAGCCAGAGGGATCTTTTTAAAACTGACGGGCTAGGGACATAGCTCAGCTGCACAGCGCCTGCCTGGCAAGGGTGCAATCGTGAGCTTGATTCCAGGTACCAAAAAAAACAAAAACAAAAAACCCCAAAAACAACATTGTGCTACTGAAAATTTTCCAAAACTCCCTTCAAATGTCAGGACAAAGCCCAAGCTTTCTGATACCATCATTCAGGCCCTGTCCACCCTGAGATTCCACCTCCCTTCCCAGCCTCAATACCCTCTACTATTGTTGCAGGCCCTGGGCAAGCAGAAAGCCCCAGCTGGGCATGGTGGTGCATGCCTGTAATCCCAGCACTGGGGAGGCTGAGGCGGGAGGATCATTTTGAATTTGAGCCCAGCCTGGGCTTCAAAGTGAGCTCAAGGCCAAAAGGAAGGAAGGAAGGAAGGAAGGAAGGAAGGAAGGAAGTAAGTAAGTAAGTAAGTAAGTAAGTAAGTAAGTCCACCTCACTCCAGACCCCCTATCTTTGGAATTCCAATCTGTGACAACAATGGGGTATTTTCTGAGCTGCAGGTCACTTGCCCCAAGGACAGTGGCCTGGTGGTGGAAGATGAGAATAGACCTGCATTTGAATGCCTTCCCACATCCACCTTGAGCCTGCCACAGCTCTGTTACAATTCTTGGAGCCTTACTTTCTGGCCTTTGGAATGCAGAGAGAACCACCAGGCAGGGTTGATGCAGGGGTCCATGTACCTGATTAAGCCCAAGCTTTCTCAAGGTTTCTGTTCTGATCCTGATTCTGTGGGTAGCCAGTAAGAGGAGGGGGAGGGCCAGGGGAGGGGAGGGAGGAGGCTCTCTGGAGTACCAGCCACCAGCTCTGAGGTCCTGCTGAGCAGAAAAGCTGCAGAGCAGCTCTGTACCCAACTCCTGGACACTCAGCACCCCTCCCACCTCAGCTCTACCCCCTCTGCTGAGGCCCAGAGCAAAGCTGAGCAAGGGGCTTGGAGCTGGCCTTGTATGGCTGGGGACTGCCAGCCTGTGCTAAGAGGTCTTCTTCAGGCAAGTCTGCTGGGGAAGGTGAGTGTGTGTTGTGTGTGTACTCATGCACAGATGGGTGTGCCTCAGCTCCCTCCCAGAGCAGACAGACTCTCTACAGGGAAATTAAGGCCTCCCAGAGCCTCAGCTCTGGAGTCCCAACATAGTCACCCACACTTTACACACCCTCAGATACCTGTACATACCTCCAACCTGCCTGGATGTTTTCACAGGGGCTTAATTCCTGCTACCCATCAGCGCAAGGTGTGCAAGTGCATGCACACAGGGTATCCAGCCACAGTCCAAACCCCAGCCCCATGGCTGAGTTCTTGAAGTGGCCTTGGCAAGCAGTTCTTAGGGAGGGTGGGCAGCATAGGGCAAGCACAAGACAGTGCTCTTAGCAGGTGTGGTGATTGAGAAAACCCCAGAGTTTTCAGGCATTGGGAAGCTACAAATACACTGGTGATGTTAACATAGGGGTGGGCTGGGCAGCCCTCTTCCTACCCTCACACTCTGAGCATTGCAACCACAGATGGAGGAAGTCCTTCAGCTGGCCTGGGTCCTGCTAAGGCAGCTCACGAATTAGATAGTAGAAGGGGATCTGCCCTGTCCTGAGGGAGGGAAGCTCCCATATCCCAGTCCTTGCTTCATACTGGGAGGATCTGGCTTTCCTTCCTCAAACCCTTGAAACTGAGGTTCCCTGAAACTTCACACTGCACCCCGAAATGGGTCTATCCCGTTAACCTGAGCCTGTTTCATCTCCTTCCTCTCTGCTGAAGCCTAAAGTCCTCGTGCTACCCTCATACACCATCCCCCACATCAGCACCACTTGGCTTCTTAACTACCATTCAAAGGCCCTTCCAAGGAAACCTCACATCCTACCACACTCCTGAACTAAACTGCTTATTGACTGTCCCCTCCCCAGGCAAGATTTATTCTTACCTTAAGCCTTTGTCCCACACCCTTTCTTTGATCCATCTGTCTCCACACATCCTTCAGCTCAAGGATTTCCCCTTGAAGTTCTCCTAGCCCCATCTGATTGTGCAGGGCCCCCTACTGGATTGAGGTCTTTCAGAGGCCAGTTTGCGGGCTGTCCCCAGTCCAGGATCAATGCAAGGGCAGAACTCAGAGCACCTGTCCAAAGCTAGGGAGGCTGGGGGAGAAACTAGGCCACCCCTCCCCCCATGCAGTGGACCAGTGCCCCCTGGCCTTTCTCCCCCTCCCCATTTCCGGCTGGGTCTCCAGCCCCCCTTCCCCTTCCCTCGCTCTGGTGGCAGATTTATCCCCAGCTCCAGACAAAGGGAGCTCAGCCAGGCGGCCAGAGGCACCTGAGTGCAGCTCTCCAAGATCTGTTTCCTGGGTACTGAGGACCAAGAGGGATGGGAGCGAGGCGCTGAGTGCAGGCTATGGACTGCCGCCTCAGCAGTTTGGCAGTGGCTGGCTGGACCCCAGAGGCAGCTGAGTGCCCCCCCGGTCACCAGGAGCTTTTCTGAACTCCAAAGATTGCAGCCAATTGGAGGTGGGGGAGCAGCTCCTCATGTAAACTCCTTTACTCTGGCCCCAGGGAATAGAATACAGGGTGTTCCATATAGGGATGTCAGGCAGAGTTGAAAGGATGACGACTCCATCTCAGGTCTTCCCAAGTCCCTCAGAGCACTGTCCCCTGCCTCATGCCTGCTCTCCCCATCAAACCCTAGGAGATTCCCCTTTTCTCCGCACCACATTTCCTCAGAGCACCTGCCCACTGCAGACTACACTTTGCCTCCAATAGTCGTCCAGCGGCAGGTAGTTTAGCCGGACTTGAGGTGCCCGGCACTTCCTATTTGGCTTCTCCCTTGCATCCAGGGGAAGGGGACTCCTTTATGCTGCGCTGGGGAACCCGCCTTGGCCATGCCCCTGGAGAGCCCGCTAGGGTGTGCGGTCCCGCCCTCGAGCCTGGAGTCCCCGCGCTCCGCGCACTCACCGGTGATGAGCACCGCGCGAGTGGCCACGGGCAGGCGCGGCGGGCGCGCCAGGCGGGACAACGTGATCCAGCCGGTGGCAGCCAGAACGGCGAGTGCGGCCAGTGGGGGCAACAGGCGCTGGCACAGCCAGTCGAGCGCGGCCAGCAGCGCCAGTGCCGCCAGCAACGGGCTGCCCAAACGTAGGTCTGCGCGCAGCAGCTGCAGCAGCGCTCGGGCCGCAACGAGCAGCCAGGCGCCGCCCGACGGCCAAGGCCAGCGCTCCAT